CTCTGAGAATTCTATCCAAACAGACTCTGTATGTGTTACTTCAGGCTTAATACCCGCTTTTATGCAACAGTTCAAGTGATCTCGGACATACAATGCCACCCCACCCCCCTTCCCGATACTTCTATCTACTTTGAACAATTTAAAACCCTGAATGTGACATTCTCCAGGCATGTCCCGATTATTCATATTGAATCACGTCTCAGTTAAGGCAAATACATCAATGTTACCTGCACAAGCAACTAGTCTCAACTCGTCCATCTTATTCCTAGCACTACGGCTATTTGTGTAATATGTATTTAAGGACCCTCCTTTCTCTTTACCCTTCCTGCTCCTTTCTGTTATTCCACTAAATCTATTGCTGTCCTTGTCAATTAGTGTCACTGGCTTTCCAATATCCACCTCATTTTGCCTATTACTAGTTCTCCTAGTACTCATATTACTACACTGCAACTTCACTGTTTTCCTGCCAAAACTCATACCTCTAACTATTCCTAGTTTAAAGACCTAACAGCTCCCTCCACTGCGTTGGCCAGTGCTCCCACCCCACACCTAGATAAGTGAACCCCATCCCTGGCATACATGTCATTTCTGCCATAGAAGAGGTCCCAGTTGTCAATGAATGTTACCGCATTTTCCTTACAGTATTTGTCCAGCCAGCAATTGACACCAATTTCTCTGGACAACCATTCATTTCCAACTCCTCTCCTTGGCAAAATACCACATATGACAGGGTTCCCACCCTTCCTCCAAATTATCTCTATTGCTGACATATACCTGCTAATCAGGTCCTCACTCCTACGTCTGCCAACATCGTTGCCTCCAGCACTGAGGCATTACCTCTCATGATGTCATCCAGACGGCTAACAATATTCTTCATCCCAGCCCCAGGAAAACACTCTCTCTTCTTCCTACTCCTATCCTTCAAGCAGAATGCCCTATCCATGTACCTAATCTGGCTATCCCCAACAACAACAATGTTTTTACCTTCTTTGGCGACGTCCGTCGTGATGTTCCCAGTAGTCGACTCACATTCGTTAGGTAGCACTACACCTTCACTTGTGGAATTCGTCAAGACGTTCTCGATGGTTTTCGTTGGGGTTTCTAGGGGTGTCTTACTCACGTCAGCCAATGGTTCCTTGGTGCTCTTTGTGACATTCCCAGTAGAACACCCACTTTCGTCAGGTAGCACCGAAAATGGGTTGGAAGTTTCCACGGCAGTCTTCTGGGTCCTCGTTGTTTCTGCCTCTCCAACAGTCTTCTTGATCTTCAGCTTGGTTCCATGTTGCCCAGCCACTGACCAAGCTCCCCTCTTAACCTGGGGACTCATAACAGGAGGATTACTTCGAATCCTCTTGTTCTCCTCCGTTAATCGCCGTATCTCCTGATTAGCAACCCTAAGCTCTTCTTTCAGCTGCTGGTAAAGTTGCTCGAGAGAGGGCATCCTGGTTCTGATTCACAGAGAGCACACAAACAGGTCTTCACAGAGCTAAGTACACGTCACCACTGAGCTAAGTACAGGTCACCACTGAGCTAAGTACACGTCACCACTGAGCTAAGTACACGTCACCACTGCTAAGTACACGTCACCACTGAATAGTTACACTAGTAGTGTAATATCTGGAGCGAACATCTGACTCTGTAACAGGAGAGTTAGATGGAAATAAAGACACTGCTAGCTGGAAATACTTTTATTACGACGTTTTAAGTTTCTCGGGTATAGAAGCATAACAAATAAACCGCCTAACAAGGCAGTGTATTAGTTATTCTTGTGTTGATGAAACCTTGAGTGAAACTTCACACGTTTATCAGGTATACAAGAATAAACAAATACATCGCCAAACAAGAGGAGTGTATTTCATTTTTCATTTATACTTGATGAAGGCTTGATTGAAACGTAGTAAGGAAAAAGTTTCTCCCACCATTTTCTTTATTTCCGCTTCAGGGTATATGCCACTGTCTACCATGAAAACCAAATGTTTGCAGAGGAGCATAAACATACACAAGTTGCAAACATAATTCACCATACGACATTATTAGAAGCTTATCGTCAAATAGTCCACATTTCCTATATCATAAGTGATCGGCGCAACACATTTCTGTAGTGAGTTGGACAGCAGTCCGTCTATTTTCCGAGATGCATGAAACTTATAGACAGAAGTCAGCTTGATTTTGCGTAGTTAAGGATGAGGGAAAAATGAATGGGTTATGTGGAGGTTTTTGATGGTGATGGAGAGAGAGGGTTGGGAGACTGAGGAAGAGGCATCAGGAATAAGGAGTTGTGAAGAAAATGGTAGATGATGAAAGATTCAGTAGTAGTTGTTGTGGCCATGCGGTCCAAGTACAACTGATATTGATCCAGGTGACGGCGGCTCCTGGATGGCTATGCAGCTCAAGACAGCCTCGCCCATGTGTCACTCTGTGACTCTAATTTGTCTCTCAGTCTATGGGTGTGTACTGGTTTACATGTTCGTCCGTGTAGTTGTCTGTTTCTGTCATTGAAATTTGCGTATTGTGTTGTTGTTTGTCTATTCACATTATTGTCCAGTATGTGTTTCTCTCCTGGTTCCGTCGTCGAGTTCCAGTGATGTTGTTGAGCTCCAGCGATGTTGTCGAGCTCTAGTAGGTACAAACGCCTCGATTACATGTGTGTACTCACCAAGTAGTGCTCGCACGGAGTTTAAGTTTGAGTTCCTGGTCTCGTTTCATCGACTGGAATAGTGTAGTTTTTCCCATAAGGGAATATTTAATCATTTTTAATTTTCAGACTGTGTAGGGAATTTTCCCCTCCACTACCTCTTAAACTTGCTCTCTTCACTTTTCCGTCCCCGTACACTGAAGATGAGTGTACGGAGAAGCGGAACTTACAATTGCCACCTTTTCGTGCTCTGTCTCTGTCTCTCTCTCTCTCTCTCTCTCTCTCTCTCTCTCTCTCTCTCTCTCTCTCTCTCTCTCTCCTCTCTATTTTGTATGCATGTACCATTCTTTGCTCCTCTATTGACGTGAAGTTCAGTTCCTCTAGTTGTTCCTCGTTGCTCATGCAACTCAACTCTTGAACTAGTCTGCAAACTTTTTCCTCTTTTTTTTCAGTTTTCTGTATGTACATGGTCGTGTCAAGGCTCCACGTTGCTGCTACGTACTCGAGGAGTGACGTTACTCATGTAATTTAAATTACCATCACATAAACAAACTGGAGTAATAGAAGTTCTATTGTTATTTTTCGTTCCGAAAACAAATATAATAGATGTACACTCATTTCCACCCTTCCTTCAGTTTTTCGTGGTAATTCTGTCCAGTCTATCATACTTTTATGTGAAATACGTCGTGAAATTCTTCGTGAAACACGTCGTGAAATACGTCGTGAAACACATCGTGACTTGTAAAAACAAACCTACTTGCAGATGGAGAGTCAGGAGTGAGGTTTTTCATTGAGTGCTTTTATATTCTGGGTTTCTCTGAAACAGAAGAAAACCGAATTACTGTGGCAATACAGGATAACCCAAGATAACCCAGAATAACCTAGGATAACCCACGAAAACCCACCAGTGAGGGCCATTTCCAGTGGTGTTCTTGGGTACTCCTCCTTAGGATGCCACCCACAGTAGGCGCCTAACAACCAGGTACCTAATTACTGCTAGGTGAACATGGGTACCACGTGCAAGGAGAACCAGCAACTGGATTCGACTCTGGCTTGAACCCGAGTCATACCGTTGTTGACCCTACACTGTATCACTGGCCACGAGGCGTTATAACGCTACCTAGCGTAACTGTAACTTAATTAAAAACCACTGACTCACTTCAACTTAATGAATAATATACGGTAGCGTCTCTGCCTCGCTGTAGTGACGGAGGATCAAGCCTCCACTGCACCTTACAACTGTTGCTGCTTCTATTACTACTACTACTACTACTACTACTACTATTACTACTACTACTACTACTACCACTGCTACTACTACTACTACTACTACTACTACTACTACTACTACTACTACTACTACTACCACTGCTACTACTACTACTACTACTACTATTAATACTGCTACTACTATTACTACTACTACTATTGCTACTACTATTACAACTACCGCTGCTACTACTACTAGGTTACTGCATTGGAGGCTGAGTGGAACGGGTGTGTAGGTGTTAATAGGTGTGAGAATGGATGGGCTTCGGTGGGAGAGCGAGTCAGTGTTAGAGTGGAATATGGGTGGGAGAGTGGGTCAGTAAGAGAATGGATGGGAAGAAAAGAAAAAGGTGGGTGAGAAAGAGAGAAGGTGGGTGCGAAAGAAAGAATATGGGTGGGAAAGTGAGAATGTGGGTGGGGAAAAGAGAAGGTGGGTGAGAAACAGAGAAGATGGGCGGGAAAGAGAGCATGTGGGTGGGAAAGAGAGAAGGTGGGTGAGAAAGAGAGAAGGTGGGTGAGAAAGAGAGAAGATGGGTGGGAAAGAGAGAATGCTGGTGGGAAAGAGAGAAGGTCGGTGAGAAAGAGAGAATATGGGTGGGAAAGTGATAATGTGGGTGGGAAAGAGAGAAGGTGGGTGAGAAAGAGAGAAGGTGAGTGAGAAAGAAAATGGGTGAGAAAGAGAGAATGTGGGTGGGAAAGAGAGAAGGTGGGTGAGAAAGAGAGAAGGTGTGTGGGAAAGAGAGAAGGTAGGTGGGAAAGAGAGAATGTGGGTGGGTGAGAGAGAAGGTGGTTGGGAAGGAGAGAAGGTCTGTAGGAAAAAGAGAAGGTGGGTGGCAAAGAAGGTAGGTGAGTGAGATTGGGAGAAGTTGGGTGAGATAGAATGTGGGTGAGAGAGAGAGGGAGGGAGAGACAGAGAGAGAAAGGAAGAGGGTGAGAGAGAGATAGGTGGATGGAAAAGAGAGAAGGTGGGTGCGCGAGAGAGAAGGTGAAAGAGAGAGAGAGAGAGAGAGAGAGAGAGAGAGAGAGAGAGGAGAGAGAGAGAGAGAGAGAGAGAAAGTGGGTAGCATGTAAGGAGAGAGACACAGTTCAGTGTGCAGTGAGGAAGTGTGGAGTGGTGGTGGTGTGTGAGAAATCGTTTTTCATTTCACTTAATACATATCTCTCTTACGTTACTAACGACCTCAAAATACGCGATTTGTTGTTCTGGATGAGGTGACACTTGGTTAGTTGTTCAAGATGAGTTGACACTTGGTTAGCTGTTCAGGATAGGTTGACACTGCTTGTTGCGTTGGTTGTTGTGAAAGTGTTGATTATGATGTGATAGGGTTGTGTTTAGTGTAACGGTGTTGTATTTGTTGTATTTGATGAGATGGTACTGTATTTCTTGTGTTTGTCTTGTGTGGTGTTGATGTTGTGTTTATTGAATTTGTATTAAGATTTTTGTGTTGTGTATTGCTGTTTTTGTGTTATGTTAGTGTTGTGTTGGTTGTCTTAAGTGTGTTTTGTTGGGACAAGTGTTTGTTGTGTTTCTGTTAAGTGTCTTGTGTTACTGCAGTGTTTGATGTATTGGTATTGCATTTGTTGCGACGGAGTTGTTTTTGTTTCTAGTTTGTTATAAGGCTGTACTGTTTATTATGTATATTGTGATGACGTTTGTATGTGATGAGTTGTGTTTGTTTTGATGTTGTGTATTGGTGCTGTGTTTGTTGTGTTGGTTTTGTGTTTGTTGTGTTTGTTATGTTGAATTTGTTGTTATAGCATACTGTTTGTTGTGTTGTGTTCTGTTTGTTTTGTGTCAGTTGTAATGTATTTCTATTGTGTTTGTTGTGATGTGCTTGGCGTGATGGAATTGTGTTTGTTGTGGAGTTGTTTGTCGTGATGTTGTGTTTGGTGTGTTTTGAATAATGGAATTATATTTGTTGCAGTGTTGTTTCTTGTGTTCGTGTTGTGTTTGGTTTCATGGTGTTATGTGTGTTGTGATAGCGTTGTGTTTGTGATGGTTGTGTGTTGTGATGGTTGTGTGTTGTGATGGTATTGTGTTTGTGATTGTGTTATGTGTTGTGATAGTATTGTGTTTTTGATGTGTTTGTTGTGAGGCAGTGTTTGTTCGGTGGTGTTGTGTTTTTTTGTGCTGGTGTTGTGCTTGTACTGACAGTGTTGTGTTTGATGCAGGGTTGTATTTGTTATGATGTTGTGTTTGTTGCAATGGTGTATTTATTATAGTGTGGTATTTGTGGAGTTGTATTTGTTGAAATGGTGTTGTATTCAAGGTGTTTGTTGTGATGTGTGTATGTTATGTGTTGATGTGTTTGTTGCCGGGTTTTGTTTGTTGTGTTGTGTTTCTTGTGATGTGTTTGTGAAGTTGAATTAATTGTGACGGTAATGTGTTATGTTGGCGATGTGTTTTCCTTGTGGTGTTGTGTTGTGTTGGTGATGTATTTGTTGCAATGCGTTGTGTTGATTTTATGTTAATGCTGTTGTCCTTGTTGTGCTTGTTTTATGTTGTAATGTTGTGATCATCTTGCATTTACTGTGACTGTGTAGTATTTGATATGATGGTGTTTGGTGTTGATATTTTTGTTGTTGTGTTGTGTTTGTGGCATTGTTTTTGTTGAAATGGTATTGCATTTGTTGAAGTGCTTTCTGTATTGTTGTGTTTATATTGTGTTAGCGATGCGTTTGTTAGTGTTGTGTTGTGTGATGTGTTTCTGATGATGGTGTGTTTTGTGTTGGTGATGTATTTGTTGTGTTGGTGTTTGTTGTAATGGTGTTGTGTTTGCTTTGTTTTTGTATTTGATACAATATGCTGTGTTGGCTTGTTACATATGTTGTGTTTTATGCTTATGGTTTGTTACAGTATGTTGTGTTTTATGCTTATGTTGATGTTGTGTTTGTTGTGATTATGTTGCACTTGTTGTGATAGTGTAGTATTGTTTTGTATCACAAAACAGTACTACAGGTTGATAAGTAAGAGACATGCAACAGTTAGGCATCTTTATTCTGAAACGTTTCGCCTCCACAGTAGGCTTCTTCAGTCGAGTAGAGATGTGAAAACGATGTAATCAGTCTATCACCCTTGAAGATGGTCAGTCCCTCAACCTGGAAAAGATTTTTGTTCCATAGTCTGAAACAATGTGAAATTTGAGCGACAGTATGAAGACTTTTGATACAAATTCATTGGAGAACATACAGAGAAGAATGACTAAAAATGATTCACTGTATAAGGAATCTCCGTATGAAGATAGACTTAGATCCTTGAATCTTCACTCTCTTGAGAGACGTAGAATAAGAGGAGATATCATCGAAGGGTATAAGTAGATGATGGGCATAAACAAAGGCGATATTGAAGATTAAGACACTTATGCAAGATATGGGAATCTTTATTAAGGAAACATTTCACCCCACAGTGGCTTCATCAGTCCAATACAAAGCAAAAAGAACATAAGAACATAAGAAAAGGTGTAAGGAGAGGAGGAGTTTGAGGTAATAAGTCCCTCAGTCTGGAAACGATGTGTTCAGTCCATTAGTCTTATAGAAAGTACAGCATATGTATGTATAATGTTCGCCAAGACCGGGGTCCTAAGGGTTAGGTGAGTGGAAGCAGGAGGAGGCGGGATCACAATGGAACTATCCACTATTGTAAGTAGGTCTTCGTCCTAAGGTTGGACAAGTATTGAAGAATTCCTTGTATCAAGACACCATGATGTTGCAGTGTCTGACAGATGTGATAAATGATTTAAAACCGACAAGTTGAAGATTAAGACATTTACGCCATTTTTATTTTTATAATTTTTTTTATTATTATTCTTTTGCTACATTAACTTGTGTATTTTATCCTGTCAATTTAAATATAGTTATACTCTAAGTCTTGTAAACAACTTATATAAGACCTTAGTGCAATTACAATTGAGAGTCTTGTGCCTTAACTACAACATCAGGTCCTTAAGCAAACACTATGATGACCTCCTGGCACTCCTTGAATCACTAAAGACACCCTTCTCCTGCATTATTCTTACTGAGACCTGGCTTAAGCAGGACACAATAGATATCTACCCTCTACCAGGATACACAGCAATCCACAACTGCAGACCAAACCAAGTTGGGGGTGGTATTGAAATCTATTACTCTAACCAATTATCTTGTATTAGCACCACTTGCTTTAGTGATGAATATGGGGAATACATTTTTGTTAATTTTACTGTAAAAAACCTTAAGACACCTATAACAATCGGTGCCATTTACCGGATACCTCACACAAACATCCCAAATTTCAGTGAGAAATTAAAGTCACTAATAACAAACAGACAAATGAATAAGCACCACCTTCTCTTAGCTGGAGACTTCAACATAAACCTTGGCTTACTAGATGATCAGCCTGTAACTGATTTCATCAACAATATGAACAACACACTTCTCATACCAACAATAACTAAACCAACCAGGCTCACTGAGACAAGTGCAACCATAATAGACCACATATGGACCAATATACTAGCCCCCCTTAAATCAGGGATAATCACTGATAGCGCTACAGACCACTACCCTACCTTCCTCCTGACAAACATTAGTAAACCACCACTTGAATACAACAAAGATTCATTTAGACTCCATGACGAGGCCTCAATAAGGAAGTTCACAGCTGACCTAGAGACTGTTGACTGGCCTACAGAATTCTCCAAGGCCAATGGTATTGATGACTGGACAGACATTTTTCTTAACAAATTACTTAGACTATACAACAAACATTGTCCTACAAAAACGAAACAGATCACAAACAAACGGCTTGGTTGATCATGGCTAACCAGCACCATTCTGAAATCCATTGACAAGAAACACCAATATGAAAAGCAATATAGACAGGGCTTAATACACAATGATATTCTTAAACACTATTCATCAGTTCTCACCAAAGTAATAAAGAAAGCCAAACAACTACACTACTCCAGTAGATTCACAGACACTAGAGGAGATATAAAAAAGACCTGGAAAACACTCTCTCAGATTCTAGGGACCCACAAACTGAAAAAAAAACAAGAATATTATCCTAACTAAACCTAATGAAACACCACTACATCCCACTGACACAGCTAACAAGATAAACGACTTCTTCTCAACCATAGGATCTAATCTTGCCAATAAAATCCCACATACCAGTGCCCATGCCGGGGACTACCTAGATGGGAATTTCCCAAATTCCTTCTATCTTGCACCAACTGAGCCCTCGGAAGTCACCGAGATTATAAAATCACTTAAAAACAACTCAGGGAATCTGTCTAATGTCCCACCATTACTGTACAAGCGAGCTGCCCATATCCTTTCGCATGCTATTTCATTACTTTTTAACAAGTCACTAGAAACTAGCACCTTCTCGAAACTACTCAAGATGGCAAGGGTTACACCAATACATAAAGGTGGTGACCCTACAGACTTAAACAACTATAGGCCAATATCAAACTTACCATTGCTATCCAAAATCTTTGAGAAACTCGTGCACAGGAGACTATATTCATTCATAACAGCACAAAACATACCAAAACCCCTGCCAATTTGGATTTAGGAAAAATAAAAGCACTAATGATGCAATCATAAAAATGCTAGTTCTGCTTTACACAGCATTGGAAAATAAGGAATATCCACTAGGAATTTTTAATGACCTAAGAAAAGCTTTTGACACAGTAGACCACGACATCCTACTCCACAAACTTGACCATTACGGTATAAGAGGCCATGCGCTTGCTTATTTCAAATCTTACCTTACTAATAGGTATCAGTATGTTACCATTAAAGACACAGCATCAACAACACGGCCACTTGATACTGGAGTTCCGCAGGGAAGTGTCCTTGGTCCCCTGCTCTTCCTCATATACATCAATGATCTTCCAAACGTATCCCAACACCTGAAACCCATTCTCTTTGCTGACGACACGACTTATGTCATCTCTCACCTAATCTTGCCACCCTCAACACATTGTTAACGAGGAGCTGATCAAATATCGACTTGGATGACAGCCAATAAACTTACGCTTAACACTGACAAAACCTACTATATTATGTTTGGTAGCAGAGCAGGAGATACACAAATTATCATTAAGATCGACAACACTCTAATTACCAGACATAATGAGGGCAAATTCCTAAGCCTATACCTTGACAACAACCTGAATTTCAGCACCCATATCCAACACATAACCAAAAAAGTATCCAAAACGGTTGGGATCCTCT